AAGACTTAAAACACAAAAAATTAAGTTAAAATCTATTCATGTAATCCAGTGGTTTTCAACATTTTTGACTTGAAGTGCCTTTCAGAAAAAAAGGTATAAAAGCTGTCACTGGGGCAGTAACTTTTCAAGAGGTACACATTTGTACCTTATTTATACCTAAAGAGTGGATATAAGAACTTTAAAGGTACATATTAGTACCTTACTTGTACCTTTTGAAAATGTACTGCCCCAGCCAGTGACAGCTTTTGTACCTTTTTTCTGAGAATGTATGTTCACATTTATGCATTTAGCAGATTTTTTATTTTAACAAAAATGACTTAGAAAAGAGGAACAAAAGATATGTTTCAAGAATTGTGTTTACCATCCAATATTCCCACATTCTGTAAATTTTGAAGCCTAACAGTCTTTCATGAATTGAGCTGAACATTTTTATATGCCAAGGTCAACACACTTGTCATTTGAAGCATTCAGATGCTAACTAACCCAGATATAGCTTTAAAAAGTGTTCTGATTAGAATAATGTGTTGTGTTACTGAAGGAGTGAGTCATGCATCTTCAGTATTCGAGCAGCAATGTCTCTCTCCTAAAGCAAATAAATGCATTAAACAACGTTAACCATTGCAATCTGTGTTTTCTGATTGTTTTGAAAAAATTTGTATTCTGACAAAATAATGTTACATTGTCATTTAACATTTTTTCACTTTATGTACTTACCATTTTAAGTTCATCAGCACAAGCGTTAAGTTTTGCCTCAACTCATCTGTCACAGTAACATCCGAGCACGCTGACCAGCAGCCGTCCCTGAAGCTCACAGAAAACACCAAACCTGCTGGAATCCCAAACTGCCCTGCAGATTTACAAAGGTCAGTCATGCTCATTCACGCGTCATATAAATTAACTATAAAATATACAATATATAGCCATATTTGTTTCATGTTTGAGAATGATTCAGATAGCCTTGCCTGTACTAATTACACCCAATGAGAAGACGTCCTCTGGAGATGCATCATTATTCCAGGCCTTTAAAATGGTCATTATTCCATTTGTTGTAGATATTGCTGTGGCTTTGTTGGTCTTTGATGAAATTGTGGTACGGTGTTTATGCACTAAACTCATAAAATCTGTCTGCAGCCATTTCCTTATATATATAAACAAACATGTATAATTACATGAGTAGCAAATACAACATGTATTTAGACTATTTATGATATGTTTGGAACATGCATGTGTGATGTAATTGAAGATGCCAATTTAGTTTAACCATGTTATGTCAGATTTTTTATTTACTGATACCCTTTATAATGATTCATAAATGGAATTGCATGAAAGAGCCATATGGTTTAAATGATTCATGCACCACAATGATATTTACCAATAGTAAATCATTTCCATGACTTGCTGAGAAAAACCATCTGGTCCCCAAATTGTGCCATCACATCTGAAAACCTTCGCCCTCTGTAGGTCAATATGGAAACTGCCACTGATGTTTCCCCATACTACACATTAGTGATGTCTGGAAATATAATAAAAAGGGAAAATTGAAGCATAGACATCAAAAGACAGGAAAATAAACAAACAAATAAATAAATAATTGATTAAAATAATTTTAAAAAGTATTTTAATAAATTATTTAATAATTTACCCATACAATGATGATGATTACATTATATATATATATATATATATATATAAATAATTATGAATAATTTCAAAATGTTTCAAACTGAACTGAATTTCAAATGTATAATTTTATTGCAATTGAATATTAGAACTAATATTTACACGGATACTAAAAAAAACGTTCTGCCACCTGGCTCACCATGTGGTCCTTGTCATCCTGCACATCATTACTTTCACACACAGGCTGCAGGTCATCCAGAAAAATGATGAAGTGGGCTTCCTGAAATGCCTGTGTCTGGTCTGAATGGACAGTGACTTCATGTAGCCGATGGTCAGAAGCCAAGGTCTTCTGTTTCCATCTTGAGTCCTTGTAGCATTTCCTCAGAGCCGTCAGCATCCATGAGGTGAAGGCTGAAGGTGGCGAGACTTGGAAACAGCCCCGTGGAGAATAACTGAGGAATGAGGCTGTAGCAGATGGGGATCAGAGCACTAAAAGAAAGTTTTTGTCATGCATCGTAGCAATAAGAAAATATTGAGACAAAAGGTCCTGATAAAACATGTTCACCTGCTGATCCAGATGTGCAGAGGTCTGAGAGACACGTGTCGGTGGATTTCCTCCTCTATACACAGCTCTTTAGTTTGTCGATTCTCGGCTGACATTTTTAGCATCACATCAGAGTTCATATCTGAAGTGATGCCATAGTAACCCTGCAGGAGAGGACAAAAGTAATAATCTTCACATGCAATATCTACATTAAATCACGTTGCGTTGGTCTCTGGGCAATGTCACTGATCAGTTTCTGATTTAAGTTGTAGCAGTTTAGGTCAATATGAGCTATAATGAAAGGGCTTCGTTTAATTTTAAATTGTCTTAAATTAATATATTGCACTAATTTCGAGCTGGAACAAAACCTGGCACATCTTTGCATAGCATATTCATTGCACAGCACCCAGAGAGAACTATTACATTTTTTCTCAATTCTCAAATGAGATTTTTTTTCTTTTCTTAAAACAGTAAGCTCTGATCTCTGGGCAATGTGTTTCTTGTTCACACAAGATTTGAATTTATTATTGAAAATTGAACTTTGAAATGGGAAGCTGATGTCTCTCAATCATGAGACGGTTACATTTGGAGTCAGAATGAAACCCAATCTTTTTTATACTATTTTGATGCCCATTTTTTCATTGCTTCAAGTAGACAGATTCTGGTTAAAATGCATGCTTTTCTAGTTTTATTAGATTTATATACGTATGTATATGCATTAATTACTGTATGTTATTTGTTCTCTTCATTCGGTAATAATTTATCATGTGATACATGCAACATGATTCATTCAATGTCAAAATCTGTCTGACATACATGTATACTTGTAAATAAATGTACTGTATACATACAAATCTGGGTAGTACAATATTGACTTTTCATAGTAAACTTTTACCTGCTGTTAAAACCCCTAATGTTTAGTGTAATACACAATAGCACTCCGCTAGACAAAACAGTGTCAACAAAAAAGTTGATTTTTTTTAAAAATGTGTATATATAAGAAACATTTCCAGGGTTATTTGACATGGTACCAAAACAAATAAACATTATAACTAGTGTGGCTCACATGATGGCAAAAACACTTCATTTTGGTGGCATTAGCCAATGTACTGACATAATAACTAGGTTTTGAAGCATGAATTCAATGTTCTGGGTGGGTTACTACATTTTTTCAGACATGCAATAGAGTTGTCCCACAAAACAGCTGTGACAATTGCACGGTTAAAACAGTTTAAAAAAAATAAGCCAATGCGATTGAGAAAAACCCTAATTCATACTGTATTTTCTGCAGAGGTAAGCTCTTACATTTTCTTGATTACTTTTAGATAAATAGATTCCTGTTTTATTTCAGTATCCTATGCAAACCTGAGCATGTTCAAGGAAATCACTGAAGCCTCCGAGCAGTAGGCCTTTCGCTCCACGATCAATCAGCTCTCTCCATAAAATACAATAGGAGAGCATGAATGCTCCCAGCCATTTCTACACAGAAACAATGCTTCAGTATGAATAAAATACAGAAATGAACCAGTCATAAAATGAACATAAAGCTGTGTGCAAATTATTAAAGAGCTCCATGAACTTTTCAGCTTTACCTCCCAGTCATTGGGGTGCACACAGATCTCGTGAATGTGAAAATCAGGCAGGTTTCTTTGCAGCACATCAGCCAGAAGCTCAGCCTTTGCATAATAAGGACAATCAGCCTTTCCTGACAAACGTAGATAACGTTATAGCATTAAAATTATGTTGACTCTGACATGATAGACCACACACATCTAAATACTTTACTTTTACTTTTACTTTTAGTCATTTAGCAGACGCTTTTATCCAAAGCGACTTACAAATAAGAAAAAGCAGGGGTGTAGCCATCATTTCAGAAGTGAGGG